CAGTCAGTATGGGTTTAGAGCAAAAAACTCTACATCAATGGCTCTCATGGAAATAATAGAACAAATAACTACTGCTGTCGATCAAAAACAGTATTGTGTTAGTATTTTTGTTGATTTAAAAAAAGCATTCGATACTATTGACCACACTATTCTCCTTGAAAAATTAAATAAATATGGTATAAGAGGACCAGCATTACACTGGGTATCTAGCTATTTAAAAGATAGGAAACAGTTTGTACAAATAAATGGTGTAAGATCTGACCTGTGCAATATCACTTGTGGAGTTCCTCAAGGCTCTGTACTTGGACAAAAGTTATTTATTTTATATGTGAATGACTTAGTGAATGTATCAGGACTCCTCAAATGTGTCATTTTTGCAGATGACACCACATTTTTCTGTTTGGGTAAAGATGTAAAACGGATGTTGGAATTGATGAAGACAGAATTTGATCAAATACAAACTTGGTTTAAACTTAATAAATTATCATTAAATTTAGATAAAACTAAATACATGATATTTAGTAACAAAAAGAGAACTGTTGATGATCCATGTAAAATTGAGGGTGTTGAGATTTGTAGAGTTAAAGAGATGAAATTTTTGGGTGTAATCATTGATGAACAGCTAACATGGAAAAATCACATCAATTCTGTAAGAACAAAAATATCTAAATCTATTGCAGTACTATACAAAGTCAGGGAATTATTAAATAATAAAGCTCTGTACATGTTGTATAACACAATCATTGTTCCACATTTAATCTATTGCATTGATGTTTGGGGAAAGCGTGTAAAACATTTACAAAACCTATTTTTATTTTACAGAAAAGAGCTGTAAGAATTATCACCAGAAAGCATTACTGTCACCCATCAAGCACATTATTTTATCAACTGAACTTATTGAAGTTCCATGATTTGGTAGATTATAGTATTTTATAAGTTATGTATAGGGCTCAAAATAACACATTACCATTAAATATCCAAAGAACTTTTGTTAAAAGGCAAAGTTGTTATAATCTTAAGGAGATAGAGATATTTGTCAAACCAACATTCAGAACTAGTCTGAAGGGAAGGTCTACCTCAATCCAAGGAGTTGGATTGTGGAATGTTCTAGAGAGTGATGTTAAAAATGCCAAGTCAATGTGTACATTTAAGAAAAAGATCAAAGCTGAATTGTTAAAAATATATATATATATGAAGTAGTTTAGTGTG